TTTGTCAAGAATTTAGATTTTTCATCGGATATATTTGGTAATGCCATGCATACTACCACAATCCTGAAAAAATGGCTTAACACCTTTGTAGACACAATAGGTTTTTAAAGTTAAGATTATAGATGTTTTTGGTGCAGTTATTTATAATAATATGCAAAACATTAAAATATTTATTATTTTGAGACACAAGAAAGTTTAGGGGAAGTGGAATGAGATTGGTGATAAAATACAATAAAGTTCAGAGCTGTTAAAGTTTGTGCATATTCCCCAATGATAGCATATAAATATAAAAATAGAGACAGAACAAAAGCTTATTTATGTGCATGCATTTCCTGTTTACTTTTCAGTCATTGATGGTAACAAATTACTGGTGTTAGAATTCCATTGAATAGAATACAGTACTTACTTTTATATATAATTATTGTGCACGCAAACAATGTGTGTGTGTGTGTGTGTGTGTGTGTGTGTGTGTGTATGTGCGCGTGCATGCATGGGGGTCAGCACCCAGCTTTGTTAGTTGGTTCTCCCCTTTCACCTTTACCTGACCTCTGGCAATAGAATTCAGATCTTCAGGCTCATGCAGCAAGTAATTTTATCCACAAGGCATCTTGTCAGCCCTGAGAACAGCAAATTTAATGGCAATGTACACCACAATTGTACATTGTGTTGTACAGTTGTGTTCTTGCCACTTATTTAAACGTAAGATAAAGAATAGTAAATATCACATTGAAGTCTCTAGGCTCCAATGCACGGCTGTGTCTTCTCCTCCTCAGTTTCACTTCCTGATAACCTGAACCTTCTGACTCTGAGTCTCAGTCCTCTCGTGAGAGTGAAGCTGACTGCAAATAGGAGCCGTGTTTTCCAGTTTTTGTACAGCTCACAGGACTCTAAAAGTAGCCTGATCATGACAAGTGTTCACATAACAAGTTATGGAATTAGTGTATTTCAGCAAAAGGAGCCACTCATTCTTCCTCTACCACTCCTAGGCTTTCAGTTAGTTTTTGTTCTAACTGATGATGAAACAACTGCCCGGTGGAAGTAAAATTGGGGCTTAAAGAATAGTTCAGCTTTTGTCCCTAAAATAAGGATACTTTGAGAAAAAAATTACACAGTAAATCAATATGATTTTAAATTTTTTATTAGCATGGGTATTTTCTATATAAACTAAAGCAGCACCAAACATATAGAATGTACTTATGGGGAAAAAAAAACAGTAGTTCTATGTAAATTTTTGATTTAAGGCCAGTTACATTTGATGATGATTTTTAAAATGTTCAACAAGTTAGCGATCAATACAAACAGCATTAGAGGAGTCAAGAGTGGCTGCCAATAAACATCCCTCCTTGTGTTCCTAATGTAGAATTTAGTGAAAATCACATGCATGTGTACTTCACACTTTATGTATTTCCTCTATTCAGGACACTGGAAGCACAGACATTGCCTAACAATTTTTTTGTTTGCTACATGTGCAACAAGCTGGCAAAAAGCATATCTGGTGCATATGCACTGGTAAATAACATTTTTACAATTTTAAAGATTTATCAACAAGGCTTGATTTTTATCCTGTGATTGTAGTTGCACGCACACACACACACACACACACACACACACACACACACACTATATTTAAATACAATTTGCAGTATTTTATTTTGTATTTAATATTATCCAAAGAAATAATATACATAGACCCATTAATATAACAACTTAGACAAAAACACATATTAAAAAAAAACTCTTACAGACTAACTTGGAAATATTATACTTAGATTTTAGGAATTAGATTCCGTGGTATTTTATCATTGACTTGTTTTGTGAATTTTTTTCCTTGATAAAAGAAAATATTATCTTGAACTTAGAAACTCCATTTATTTGAAAGAACAACTAGAGCTGTCGTCTGAGCCACAATCTTTATCTTGACAGCATTTCTGGGAACATCAGTTCTAAGTACCACTGTGGAACACCCCTCTATGCTAGGTCCTGTAGTTTAGGATAGTTTTCTGAGGTAGAAAGTGATATCATGCCTACTTCAGTGAATGCATCTGAAGGAAAGCAAAAGGCATGTGTGGGTCCCCAATTCCCTTGTCTTTCTTAGCTTTCCACTGGACAGTAAGCTCCCTAAAGTGCGTGAACAATGTCTCAATACAGTTCAGAATGTATCACAGAGTGGACCATGCCCAGGAACGCTGGGAATTGAAATGAGGACAGAGCCCTTTCCTGACTCCCTAGACAGCACACAATAACAAGGTGCAAAAGTTATGTGGCTAGACCAGGAAGAAGTCTAGTTGCACTTCAGACAGGGTGAGAGAAAAATCACATTTGTAAAGACTGTAGAGTATGAAAATACCACTACAAAAACGATACGTGAAAATTGAGCATTCAAAACCGCATCAAGTTTTCCTGGAAATTAATGCAAAGTCGTGCCAGCTTTGTGATTTACCATTGAAGGCCAATGGTTTGTTTATTTGTTTTTTAAATTATGTTAACCAGTACATTTGTCATCATCATATAAAGCTTTTAATTTCCCTTTAATGTTTCTTCAGCACATGCATAGGGCTGATCATTGATACTGGTGGCCCTGCATCCTCACAAGGAGTTTTAAATTGCATCTGCAATGCGCATGCACGTGTTTTTCTCAGCATTATTCTCCAAACAATAAAGCACATGACTATTTGTGCGTGCTTACATTGTCCTTTAGTCTACAGATGGTTTAGGATCTATGGAGGGTGCTCCACTTTCTTTAAAACCTCGAGCCCCTGCTGATCCTGTTATGTGTACCGGTGAATGGGGAATGCCCGTCTTAGCCAGGGCACAAATGTAGGATGCTTACATTTCTCTGAGACAGAAAACTTCTGGACTGGAATATCTTGAATTTGGGGTCAGTTGAAATAAGTAGTTATAAGTTAAAAGTGACCTTTGGGACTCCTTGTCAACCTTTGCTGCTTTATTCTCTCAGAGAACGGAACCAGGGAGCTCAATATGATAGAAAGCGCATGCGTCCACATCAAAACACTGAGCTCCCAGATCATTTACTGGAACTGTGAGGCTGTCAGCATTCTGAATGAACTAGAGGATAATCGTCCCTGCCCCATTCAGAGAGACCTTCATTTTTTTGTTCCGAATCCACAACCTAGCACAAAAGTCTGACCTGCTTAAGGTTACTTTTGACTGGCTCTTGAACTTTCAAGTTAAAAAAAAAATCACCCAAATTGTCCCCAAAGGAGTAGTCAAAGTTAAAGAAATAATTTCAGGTTGTTTGGTTTGGACTGCATGTGTGTATGTGAACAAATTTGACCAAGAAAAAAACAAATCAAACACCAGAAAGGAAGGGTCAAGCATGGTGGCACACAACTGTCATTCCACACCCTGGAGGCAGAGGCAGGAAGATCACACCACAAGTCAGAGACCAGCTTGGTTTACATAGGATTACAGAACACTACACAAATCCTTTTTTAAACAAACAGAGAGATAGGGGCAGGGAGAGGGAAGGAAGGAGGAAAGAAGGAAGACAGGGTCAGAGAGAGAGAAAAAAATGTGTTCAGTGGGTGGGGTTTTTCATCTCTCAGTAGTACTTTTATTTTTTCAGGTGCTTTTCACTGGGTGGGTTTGGTGGCACATGTCTGTAATCCTGGCACTTGAGAAGTAGGGGCTGGAATTCAAGAGCCCAGCCTGGGCTTCATGAGACCTTGACTTGAGCCCTCAACCAAATGAAAAAATTAAGCATTTTTCATTAACACACATCCATCATCCATCCATCCATGCATGCATGCATGAATGATTGATCTCCTGCTCTATTTTTCGGGGAAAACAGCTTGGGGCCTGTGTCCCTAATTGTAATTAGGGACAGTATTTCCAATCTGACTACCCAGGGGAGGGCACTTAGAATGTCCTGGGCACTTTGGTAACACACAACAGTTGTTAGTGTATATAGACTAACATAGGGTAGTAGTTTACATAGGACCTATGCATGGTAAAGACAGATAAAGGTGAAAGGGGCTGACTGTACAAGCCAGGGAACCCAGATGGTGTTTACAGAAAGACTAAAGAGGGTTTTTTTATTAGGCCTGAAAGTCAAGTTCTTTTGCGACATCATAATTAAATTTTTTAAACAAATAGAGCAACCTATTACTCCCTGTAAGTTTGATCCAATTTATTAGAGTTTATTGGAGACGATATACAAAATGCCTGACTCCTGATGGGTTAAGTGTGTCTAGCACCTCAGACGAAAACACTAGTAGGTAATTAAAACAAACAAACAAACAAAAACAAAGCATAACACAAAGGACTGAAGTAGTGGAACTGACATGGTTTAGATGCTAATATTAACTGATAATCTAGGCTCTGCAGTGAGGAGAGACTTGAGTGTTTAATTGCAAAATACATTAAACACAGAAACTAAAATGTTTTCTCTTAATATAGGAAGATATTGATAGCTATAAAAATAGTTTTTATCACAAATATAGTTTAACATACCCAGCTATTCTATATAAAAATACAGAAAAATAATTTCAAGCAAAACACAAACTCTACTGCACATGAGAGAAGCTGAGGAAGGGTAAAAAAATGTCAGTTTGAACATGAGCCTTGCTGACACCAGCCATATGTCCTTTAGCATCAGATCTGTGACTGAGAAAACTCCAATGTATCATGTTTAAATATATAGAATATCAGTAGTAGCTTCAGGTTTGCTAGTCACATGTTTTAAAAAGCAATGATATGTTATGTCAAAAGCACTTCAATTTCAGTTTTTAAAAAAACCAAACAGGGCTAGGAAGATTATAACACACTTTTCGCTGTAGAGTATCAAAGTAACAGCCCCGTTGGTGTACTTAACTAGGAGTTTTACCATCAAAAAATAGAACCTTTAAGTTAAAAAAATATTTTCTTTGGTAATATTTGTTGACATTTCTGATCAGAGTCTGTACAAATTCTCCAAATGGTATAAAACAAAATTCTAGGGTGTAGATATACACTCGTGAAGGAATCCGTTAAGAGGGAACACGTGGTTCCCTTCCTGTCTGTTCTTGGGCTTTAGACAGGTCATCCTCAGGCAGTCTCTGAAGCCCCCAAGAATTCCATTTGTACAGCAGCCTTGGGGGGTTGGGCCACACCTCTCTTCTTCCGAAATTCTGCAGCGATTTCCTCAAAAGACTTTCCTTTGGTCTCTGGAACTTTAAAAAATGTAAACAGGGTGAAGGCCAGGACGACCCCAGCGAAGAGGAAGAACACATAAGGTCCGCAGAAGTCCTGCAATGAGAGCAAACAGCTGTGGTCAGCAGCTGCACCGCCTGCCTGGTCGGGGTAGGGGTGGGGTGGGGGGGCTCACACAGTGTGGGCACTTACCGCGATGTACTGGAAGCAGAGAGCAATAATGAAATTGCAGAACCAGTTGCTGAAGGCAGCCAGTGCCAGAGCAGTGGGGCGGGGGCCTTGGCTGAAAAATTCAGCAACCATGAACCAAGGGATTGGACCTGGCCCAATCTCAAAGAAACTGACGAAGAGGAAAATGGCTGTCATGCTCACGTAACTCATCCAGGCGAATTTATCCTGAAGACAAAGACAAAGTCGTAAGTGGGACAGGTGGCTGTTGGCTGCAGCCTCCTTGAGTTTAGCGGCTTCTGAGTTCTCTCAGGCTGGGGTAAGAGTTGGGCACAGCTGTCTTCCTCATGTGTTTTGTTTTTCATCAAGCTCCAAGTTACTCTGGTTTGAAACAAGTTAGTCCAACCCAAATTTGGAGCTGTTGCCCAGTCACTCCCTTGTGTTAGGGCCTTTGGGGGGGTCTGTTCCATAGTTAATCTTTCCCTGTGACGGGGAAGAAGACCCACAATCCTAAGGTCTTCCTACCAAGATGGCCAGACAAGTTTGACTCCCTGTGAAGCACAGGGTGGGGATGCTAGGGTGGGCGGGAGGTTCACGTCCTTGCCCATGGTTATACCAGCAGGCAGCCACCCATGCAGCAATACTGCTGCCCTGGTTAGTAAGTGGCATTCTGGTACTTTCATCTCTAACTCCAAGAACATAGTTCCCCTCGCTTTACATTTCTCTTCTCCCTTATTTCATGAGTCTCAAGCCCTTCTTATGTACAGAGATCTGTAGCCTGGAGGCCAGAGATGTGTGCCTGTGGTTAAAAAAAAAAAAAAAAAAAAAAGCCAGTCCAGGTACCACACTCACCAGCAGCACAAGTCCCAAGGACATGAAGATGGCACAGAAAAACATCCCGATCATTCCAGCTAGAAACAGGGACCGCCGCCCTGCCTTCTCCACAAGCAGTACCTAGGGAAGTTTGCACATTATCTCAGTATTCTGCGCCGAACAATGCTGTCTTTAGACTTACATACTTTACCACTAAACTTGTTTTAATGTATATAGTGGGATGGAGGCAGTGCTGTGACCCCATTTTACAGATGTGCCACTGAGGTAAGAAGTGTGCGATGGTGCTGCTAGTCTCGGTAGAGAATGGTAATTATACATTGTCTCAATTTGACCATGTTGATTTGAGAAGTTCAGTCTTGAGGAAGTCTAGCGTGTTCCCAACACCCTAGGGCCATGCCTGTATTCCAACACAGTAGTGAGAGGTTGTGCATCCTGGTGCCTCCTAAGAGTATCTCTACAATGGAATTGTGAAAGATCTGCATTCATCAGGGCTGCAGTGGTATCTCTGTGGTAGATAACTTGCCTCGTATGCACAGGCCCTGGGAAGGGGAGAGCACTGTTGTGCTAAAGAGAAAATGGTGACCCCTGTTTTTCACCCACTGATTTAATCATTTCAAGAGCTCGTATGCCACAGACATCCAAGACAGTTCAGGTGTCAGCCGTTCTTATCCAACTTCTCCGTGCTTACTGAAGTCGTTATGACTGCTTAGCTGCTGATAAGTGAACCTGATCACTGTATAGTGAATTTGATCACTGTTCCAAAGCATTGAGCTCTGTATTTCCCTGGTGTGCTTACAAGTACTTGTGCGAGTGAACTGTGTATTTGGAAAGAGAAGCCATCATGACAAGACATTAGAGTGCATCTTCTTCCTGACTGAGGAGACCTACCATCATTCTTTGTGTAAGACTGACTATTAACCTGCCGATCAGCATTTTTGACTAGAGTCTGACCAATGGGATCTTATCAACACTGGCGACACAGACACACACACCATAACTTCCCATCGTAATGAGTTAACAAGATATGCTCATAAATCTAAGTCAATCAACACAAATCAACACCCACAGCATGCTGAGCTCTGGGTCTACAGACATCTGTGCAGCATTTGTCTTCCCCTGCAGCGAAAGCCCTTTTTATCTCAGAGGCACACTCAGATCAGTGTTTTGGGTCACTCTAGAAAGAACAACGAGCCAAGAGCCTACATGTCATTACTAAGAAGTAAGCAGGAAAAACATTTCTATGTTTCTTAAATGTGTGGTTGCTTTATGTGCTTGTATGTCTGATCACCGCATTCCTACAGTGCTTGCAGGTGTAAGAGGTTGGAGGCATCAAATTCCCTGGAACTAGAGTTAAAGATGTTTGTGAGCTTCCGTGTGGGTGCTGGCAATTGAACTCCCTCTGGAAGATCACCCAGTGCTTTTAACCACTGGGCCATTTCTCCAGCCATCATACATTTTTGACTCTTTCAAAGCCAGAGGGATGATGCACGGTGTTGACATAGTATTATCAGGGTATGAGAAAACAGGAATATTTCTGCAGGAATATTTCTGTTTCTTCTGTTTATGAAGAATGCTAACTGGACAATAAAAGCTAAAAATGCGTGTGTTGAGAATTGAGTTGCATTCTTTCCTGGAGGCTAGGTGACACTCAATGCACATGATGAGTGGAGAAGAATGGCCAAGCACTGGGACATCTGCTGGGCCACAGCCCTCATCTCTGCTCCAGTCTGTGCATCCTCATGAGGGTCCTAGTGCCTTGCTAGAGCTGGGAAGCCACTGATTTGCTCTTAAAGCTAGGCTGCCTCTCAGTCCCCCCATCTTTTTTCCTGTTTTGCTCTTTTCTCAAGATCGTAAGCGCCCTTTCATCAGCTCATCACTATTGATGAAAGCATAGAGCCTGGACATCATTCGGAACATAACTGGGAAAGCCTCTGTTTCTTAAGTACTTAGGAGAAAAGGGCTAGATGCCTGGTTAGTGAAACAAAACCATGAGTGCTGTTTCTTTCTGCAAACATCAATGTGAACATTGTTTTCAAGTTCAGGGACACAAACCTTATCTCCTTTGTTGTCTTATTGATATGGTTTGGTTTGCTACAATGTCTTGCTATGGAGCCTTGCTGTACTTGGACTTGAGATTCACCTGTCCCTGCCTCCTGATCACAGGTGTCTACCACAACTATTTGGAAAGCTTAACTTAAAAAAAAACTTCAACAATTTCTTTAATTGTGGAGTTCTAATAAAGTAATTAGAACTGATTTTCTTTGTGTGTCAGTCATCTACTTTAAGACATTTGTGAAAGAAAAAGAATAAACTCCAAAAGCACCATATTTGAAACAATTAAGATGCATATTATATTTATAATTAAGTTGCTCCTCCGTTCAAATGAGGCTGGGTACAGAGGGAAGAAATAAAATTCTGCACAACTTCTTCTTCTTCTTCTTCTTCTTCTTCTTCTTCTTCTTCTTTTTCAGAATTTGGGTTTGGGTTACCCAATCTTAACAACTTGATGCTTTATATAGCAAATGCTATTTTAAGCAATATGTTTTAATAATAATGTCAACTTTGTAAAACATACCATTTACAGGAAGCAATGAGGACAAGAGTCCCTTAGATTGTGCCTTTATTGACTGAAGCAGCCTTTGGCTTGGATGGGGCTGTCTGTAAAATGGAGTCTGTGGGAGCATAGCATTCTGTTTAGTTTGCACTCTTTTTGCTCTGCAAGATCCAGCATTGTGTAATGAGCTCTGGGGAGCTGGGCTGTAATTTATTGACCACCCCAAGGTAATAGTTAAAGTACATGTACAAATAATGAAAAAACAAGTGACCAAAATAGGCTGAGTATAGCATGATGACCAACATTAAAACTCGAAAGCATTTTAAACATGTTGTATTCAAAGGTAAAAATCAGTCAAGTTAGTCTCATTTTGAGCAACTTTCATCAGTTGAGAAGTCTTTGTACTCATTATTATGTTAAACTATCAGGTTTTAAGAACGTAAACAATTTCTTTCTTTCATTGGAATTGGAAGAACAATGAAATTTCATAGTTTATATCATTTCTACCCAGACTCACCTTACACTTATTTGAACGTATCACCAGGAGTCATTTACTTGTGAACTGCCTGGAAGTTCTGCCCAGTGATCTCACATCATAGGAATTTGCCAGTTTGTTTAATTCTGTTTTCAAGCTTAGTTATCTATTAGCTTTTTAAATGTTTGCCCCAAGATACCAGGATAAAATATCTCCAGCAGGCAGGGAGAGGCTAGGGAATGTGCCTGATGTTGCTATAATGGCACGTTGTCAGCCAGCCTCTCAGTGTTGAAATAGAAAAGAATCAGAACTGAGTCTCATGCAGAGAGAAAGTCTTGCCAGTGAGTTATTAATTCACCAAATGACTGGCACCCTCCACAATGGGCGAGCCAGTGACTCACACCTCAACCAGCCTCAGAGCAGTGGCTGCTGTGTGCCCAGGACTTTCCCCACTATTCACTTATCTGTACACACACAGTGCACGTGGACAGAAGTACTTTTCATCATAAGCCACCATCCCACCTCCACTCCAGGGCCAGGGAACAAGTTAGTGACTTACAGAGACAGCAGTGAAGATCAAGTTGATGGCACCAACGCCAATGGTGGCATACACAGGCTGGCTGATACCAGCTGTCTGGAAAATGCTGGTTGAGTAGTAAAATATCTACAAAATAAGGACAGGCCAGCTTTAAGGAAAGCCTCCCATTGAGGTCCCAAAAGCAAGACATATGGCTGCGTACTTTTAGTTTCTGTGGAACCATGGTTCCTAGGATCTCCTAAAGTTTACCCTACCCTCTCCTCAGACATGTCTTCCTTCAGTGTTTAAAGTTCCTGGATGCTTAAAAGTTCTTGGCTTTAGCTTAAAACCCCATTACGTCACTTCATTTTCTTAATTTCTAAACTTTTTGTTAATGTATAATCTTGTAACAGGTACACACAAGTGAACAGCCCTATTATGTTAAAAATTGATTACAACCATGTAAGGAGAACTCATCTCAAGGACCAACTCATTTCTGACTCTGCAGAGTCCCTCTATCCATTATTCTAAGGGAATCATTCAGCTAACATCTAACACAATAGATGAATTGTGCCAAGTCCTGTGCTTGATGTAACTATTTCACACTTGCTCTCTTGTTCTGGCTTCTTCTAAACATTGTCTCCACGAGAATCCTTGTTGTCCTGTTCATTCGGACACTTCATTGTCACTACTAAGTGGCATTCTGATATACCTGAATTACTACACTTTAGTTACCCATTCTACTGATGACTGCTCTTTAAGGGTGTTTATGAATAGTGCTGTTGGGTATATACTTTTTTGAGTTTTGTTTTTTTGGGGACAACATCTCTCTATGTAGCCCTGACTGACTTAGAACTCTCTATGTAGATAAGGCTGGCCTTAAACTCATGGAGATCTGCCTGCCTCTCCCTCCCAAGGGCTGGCATTAAAGGCCTGTGTTACCATTCCTGGTAGGTATACACGCTTAGCAGTTGAGTGGAGTATTCATACCTAGAATTTGAATTACTGAATCATAGTGTTTGTTAGAAATTTAAAGATCAGTCATTGTATCTATCTGTCTATCTATCTATCTATCTATCTATCTATCTATCTATCTATCTGTCTGTCTGTCTGAAGTATACCATCCAAATGGAACTGTGGACTCCTTTTTGTGTAAATCACTAGGAATCTGAGATTTCATACTCCAAGAACATTCTAATTTAGATTTGGGGGTTGGAAGTAGTTTAAGCAGTATTGTTTTCTCACCATGCACTCATTACAGCCTTTGTCTTTCACTTCCCCCCTGCCTCCCTTATCTGGTATATGTATGTGTACATGTTTGTGTTTGTGCATGTGTGCACTTGCGTGTGCATGCATGTGTGTGTGGAAAGAGGGGGTCAATATTGGGTGACTTCCTCAATCGCCCTCCACCTTATTTTTTGAGACAGGGTCTCTCAGAATCTGAAGTTCACTGATTGGCTAGGCTGACGTGATAATGATCCAGGGATCAGCACATCTCCAAAACCTTATCTCTGGGGTGCAGATATAAAGGTACTTTGTATATGGATGCTGGGGCTCTGAATTTGGATCTTTATATTCAGTGGTCTGCCAGCCCCATTGCCTTCTTTTTAATAGACCCAAAGTTCTATTGATTGCTAACATTTTAAAAATATTGAGCTATTTTTAGAGAGCCATTGAAGCAAACCAATGGAATCAATTACTACAAAACATATATTGCAACAATACTTGATGTTAGTGTTTACAAATGTCTTTTAGTGACTTAAGCCTAAGCCTCTTTCTCTCTGTCTCAGCTCCCTTTACTAGCTTAACGTTAGGAGTTCTTCAGCTTACCCCATTGATTCCAGAAAACTGCTGAGCCATGTGCAGCATTAGTGCTACGATGATGGGCTGTCGGTAGCTGGAATCTGTGAAGAGCTGAATCACGGAAACTTTCTGCTCAGTAGATGCCTCTTCCTTTTCTTTTTTCATCTCATTAATGTCTTTTGTGACATCTTCAGCTCCTCTTAGTCTCTTCAAGCCTAATTGATTGCCCAAAACAGGTTGAAACAATCCAGATCAAACAAAAATGAATTTTTTTTTTCTGGTCACAAAGGTGCTACAGATCTGCATGCCCCTTTCTTTGACCTAACAGCATAGGTACTGGCAATTCTTCTTCATACCTTTTTGGTTAAATTAAATCCTGTTTTTTAATTGAAGTAAGCAAAGCAAAGCAAAGTAGAACAACTGCCTTCACCTGGTGGGAGAGAGAGAGAGAGAGAGGAGAGAGAGAGAGAGAGAGAGCGCGAGAGAGAGACAGAGACAGAGACACAGAGAGAGACAGAGAGAGACAGAGAGACAGACAGAGAGACAGAGAGAGACAGAGACAGAGACAGAGACAGAGAGACAGAGAGAGCACTATGCTCCTCATCACAAAAGCACAGTGCTGAGGAGGGTGGATTGGGAGACTCTAGTTAAGCTCAGTGGGCTACATGTGAGCTCCTGGAGTGGGCAAATCCACAGCACGCTAGGCACATGCACGTAAAACAGAACACAGCAGCCATACCTAAGTTCAGTATGTTCTTCTGAGCAATCACTGACTTCATTTACATGTTGATTTTATGAATAGTCATTCACACATACTATTTTGTATTAACTAATAATTCCTCAATAATAGAAGCTGGCAGTTCCCTACACACTTACATTTCTTTGCTTTGACTTCTTCTTCCAGCTTTATATAAAGGTATCGGGGGCTTTCTGGACAGAAGAGTAGCAGGAGAGACTGTAGGAGAGCTGGTACAGCGGACAGGCCAAGCAGGATGTGCCAACGATCCTGATTGCCCAGAATAAAGCTGAGAGAAGCTATCTGAAAAGACAAAGGAGAGGCATATCAGATGCACAATACTTTGGGTCTGCCTTCTATGTTAACTCATGAGAAAATGCATTGGTTTTTTTAACAGTGATCCTTGACTGTTAGTTCATGTTGGCACAAAGGGAAGGCTGTAATTAGTGAGTCCCATTTTAACCAAATCAAAACAGTTTGTTAGTAAAGAACTATGTTAGTAAAGAACTATGTTAGTAAAGAACTAAAGAACTATGTAAAGCTGAAAGAAGACATTAATGCTTGTCTTCTTTCACCCCAACTGGATGGATGTTTATGGTGAAGATCAACTCAACTTTTAAAATCACACTTGATATCAAAAGCAAAACAAGTAGTGTTCTTGGAAGCAACCAGATGGAATTGTATTGTTAAAATCACTGCTAGATGTGGTAATGTGTGTCTGCAACAATGGCCCTGGAAGAAGACAGAGACAAGCAGATCCCCAGAGCTCGATGGCCATCTAGTCTACCTGAACAGCAAGCACAGTTTCAGAGACTCAGAAACAAGGTCAAGAGTGACAGAGGAGGACAACTGACATCAGCCTCTGGCCTCTACACACACTCATATTGTACAGGCACATGAACATGTATGTTTCTCTCTCTCTCTCTCTCTCTCTCTCTCTCTCTCTCTCTCTCTCACACACACACACACACACACACACACAGGGGTATGAGAGAGAGATATGCATGACTTGAAGCTTTGCTTTAAAATCCCTTCTTAGGTTACGCAGAATTTAAATATTTCATAGACAGAACAATTACATAATGACAGAGCTTTATGACAACAATTACGTAATGACAATCAGTTTTATAGTATCTGTTGTGGTGATTTACAGACTTCCTTTTAGATATCTTGAGTGTGGGATTCCAAAGATCTTTCGGAGGCCAGAGGGTAGAAGAGAAAGAGAGAGCCAGCTGAAGAAGAGCTTTTGTAAGGTGTTTGAATTTAAATTTCCAGATAATTCACTCAAAACAAAGAAAATTCAGGCAGTAAAAAAAAAAAAATCTTGTGTTGGTTATTTTTTGGAGTTCAAATGTTAATTCTAGAAAAGCATTGCTGTATGGCCAATCCTACCAACAGCTCCAAGTATGGTGTAAGGAGTGGAAATAATTCCCCTCTGAGCTTCTTTTATACTACCTCTTTTACTACTCTTGGACCCCCCCCCCACTTCCCTGCCTATGGTAGTTCCCAGTGAGAAGTGACAGTAGGGAGAGGAGGTGCTAAAATAAGGGATGAGGAGATTTTACCTGACTAATAAGAATGCCTGTGACAATGGCCAGTTGGTGAAGAGTGCCCAGGGCACCCCGGAGCGTGGTTGGAGCGATTTCACCAATGTACATTGGAACCAGTCCCGAAATTAGCCCTGTGTGAGACATAAGCATAGAAACGTTAAAATGCAACCTGAGACATTTCAGTAACAATTATGTAGTTCAATTACAGTAGTATCCTTATTGAAAGTCATTCCCCGGGTGTTTTGGAGGAGCTATTGTCCCCAAATATGGGCACAATTAATGTAGAGAACTTTACTTCTTCCTCTTCTTCTTCTTCTTCTTCTTCTTCTTCTTCTTCTTCTTCTTCTTCTTCTTCTTCCCCTCCTCCTCCTCCTCCTCCTCCTCCTC